CTCGTCCCTGCCTCCCTAACCTGTTCTTCCTCCCACCTATCCCCTCCTCCCACCTCAAGCCGCACCTCCATCTCCTACCGACCAACCTCATCCCGCCCCCTTGACCTGTCCGTCCTCCCTGGACTGACCTATCCCCTTCCTAACTCCCTACCTACACTCACCTTTCCTGGCCCCATCCCCGCCTCTTCGACCTGTTTGTTTCTTCTCCACCTATCCTCTCCTCCATCCCTCTTCTATCCGCCTCCCACTCTCTCCCTATTTATTTCAAAACCCCCTTCCCCTCCCCCTTTTCTGATGAAGGGTCTAGGCCCGAAACGTCAGCCTCTCTGCTCCTATGATGCTGCTTGGCCTGCTGTGTTCATCCAGCCTTGCACCTTGTAGTCTTAAGTCCTCTGTTGTTTGTAGTACATATAAATGATCTGGAGGCTGTGGGTGGTCTGATTAGTAAGTGTGCAGATGATACCAAGATTGGTGGAGTTGCTGATAGTGCTGACGATTGTGAAAGGATACAACAGGATATAGATAGATTGGCGACTTGGGCACAGAAATGGCAGATGGAGTTTAATCCAGACAAATGCGAGGTGATGCATTTTGGAGGATCAAATTTAGGTGTGAATTATACTGTAAATAGCAGAACTCTTAGGAATATTAACATACAGACGGATCTGGGTGTGCAGGTCCACAGTTCCCTAAAAGTGGCAACACAGGTGGTCAAGGTGATTAAGAAAGCATATGGTATGCTTGCCTTCATTGGCCGGGGTATGGAGTACAAGAGTTGGTACAGCATTTTACAGCCTTATATAACCCTTGTTAGGCCACATTTTGGAGTATTGTGAGCAGTTTTGGTCGCCACATTACCAGAAGGATATGGAAGCTTTGGAGAGAGTGCAGAGAAAGTTCACGAGGATATTGCCTGGTCTTGAGGGCATTGGGTATGAGGAAAGGTTAAAAAGACTAGGATTGTTTTCACTGGAAAGACGGCAGCTGAGAGGAGACCTGATAGATGTCTACAAAATTATGAGAGACATAGATAGGGTGGATAGTCAGAGGCTTTTTCCCAGGGTTGAAGTTTCAATTACAAGGGGACACAGGTTCAAGGTGAGATGGGGATAGTTTAAGGGAGATGTGCGAGGCAAGTTTTTCACGCAGAGAGTGGTAGGAGCCTGGAGCGCACTGCCAGAAGAGGTGGTGGAAGCAGGCACATTGGCAACATTTAAGAGGCATCTGGATGGTTACATGAACAGGGAGGAATAGAGGGATACGGACTGAATAAGGGCAGAAGGTTTGTTTTTTAGTTTAGTTAGGGCATGATGATCAGCACTGGCTTGAAGGGCCGAAAGGCCTGTTCCTGTGTTGTACTTCTCTTTAGTTCATAGAATCATAGAAGATCATACAATCCCTACAGTGTGGAAACAGGCCCTTTGGCCCAACAATTCCACACCGACCCTCGGAGTACCCACCCAGACCCATCCCCCTATAGCCCACCTAATCTACACATCCCTGAACACGACGGGCAATTTTGCATGGCCAATCCACCCTACCCTGCACATCTTTGGACTGTGGGAGAAAACCGGAGCACCCGGAGGAAACCCACGCAGACACGGGGAGAATGTGTAAACTCCACACAGACAGTCACCCGAGGGTGGAGTCGAACACGGGTCCCTGGTGCTGTGAGGCAGTAGTGCTAACCACTGAGCCACCATTCCACACCTACCTACGCATGGACACCCCAATGGATTTTGAGTCCATCACCTTAACCACTTGCCCACGACTACTACATTTACAGGAAGTCCTTTTTGAAGGTTCAGGCTTCCCCCTTCAACTACCCTCCCAGGCAATGCTTTCCAGACTCCCCCGATTCTCTGGGTGGAGGGTTTTCCTCAAATCCCCTCTGAACCTCCTGCTTTTTACTTTAAAATTGTGCCCCCTGCTTACTGACTCTTTGACGAAAGGGAGCAGCAGCTTTCTTGTCTCTCTGTCCATTCCCCATTTAATCTTGGAACAAAAACAAAGTTGCTAGAAAAGCTCAGCAGGTGTGGCAGCATCTGTGGAGGAGAAAACAGAGTTGACGTTTTGGGTCCGGTGACCCTTCCTCAGAAT